CAAAAAAAATCACTATTGCAGTAGCACGACTGAAAAAAATTGTTAATATCGTTGTGGAATTTGGTCCTCCAAATTTTCGATTAGTGTTAAATCAAACATCTTCAATTTAACGATTGGACAACATGGATCGAGGGGTCAATTTACGTTAACGAAGACCAATTGTTACCTAATACAATATCCGACCTGCAATTTGCGCCTATATCAAATTATACCGCTATAAAAATGTATTAACAATTAAAACCTCGCACTTTCTTTTGCATACATATGTACTTTAACTCAGTATTTGATGTGTAAGTAATTGGCTTAAAAGTCGGCTTATTTGTTTGAGACCCTCTTCAGTTTATTTATTTATGCATACGCGGGCATTTTATTACAATAATTACACAAACAAACAAACATAGAAACATTTCAAACATAAAAAAACAGTTAAATATTAAATATTAACGATAATAAAATAATTAAAAATAAAATATAATTTAGAAACCAGAATTTGAATAGAAAAATAATATTTGGATTTTGACTAGTAAATAAAAACTATTAAAAATAAGATTAATTAATTATTTATTCATATATACATATATGCAGACATACATATATACACTCAATATACATGCGTATAAGTTAAGCGTGTAAATCATGAAAAAGTTTAAAAAACGAAATCTTTATTTCAAATCTGCACTAATATTTGAGAAAACCTGTCAGCGATGACATGAAGAGACTCCACAGCCAAATGCAATTATCAATAAACAGTAGAATGGTATTGTCCAATGCGCTTATTGACGATGAAATATAAGGTGTCTGGATGACTGGAGAGTAATGATTGAGGCTTAGCTCACGAAGTTCCACATTTTTAATGTTGATCGGGTTGTTGATGATTGTTTAGTGCAAGTTCAATGTTGTTGCCAATATTTGAGCGACCCGAAGTCTCGGACGGGTAGTACATTTCTTTATTCCGGTAGATCTCCCGACTGTTGTTAATATTAAGTTGATTCCTTTTAATGGCTGTATTGTGGTTCGTTCGTGTCGAATTATGGCTAAAAGTTTCTTTACTGGGAATACAGCTAAAATGGGGCGTCGATGGCAGCAACGGTTTAGGCGTTGACACGGCGCTCATCACTGAAAGGTAAAGGTCCCGAGTTCGAATCCTGCTGCCCTGAATTCGAACCCGACTTACTTACAAATTCACTAATTTCGTGGTCCGCTTGACCAATTAATATATCACAATTAATTAAGGTTTTTTAGTTGAGAAAAAAAAATCAATGGCACGAGCGGGATTCGAACCCACGATCTTCGGCTAGATACGCCGCTGCTCTACCACTTGAGCTATCGTGACCTCTATCCACTCGGACACGTAACTTCCCATCTCAAACCCACCTTTTGAATTTTTCCTCCTTTTTGCCATTTTTCAAATGTCGTGTAATCGGGAAAATTCAAAAGGTGGGGTTGAAATGGGAAGTTACGTGTCCGAGTGGATCGAGGTCACGATAGCTCAAGTGGTAGAGCAGCGGCATATCTAGCCGAAGATCGTGGGTTCGAATCCCGCTCGTGCCATTGACTTTTTTTTCTCATCTAAAAAACCTTAATTAATTGTGATATACTTACAAATGTTTTTTTTTTTTTCAAAAACACCGGCACCCCGAGGGTTGATATGACCTCTGCTGTTGCGAACCCTCGTAAAAAAAACAACAGCTAAATATGAGATGATATCCAAGTTAGTCGATTTTCAGATACAATGAGTTCTGTGTATTTACAATGTGACAAATCGCCAGAGTGAAGTATTGCTTTCTTGCACAAGTTGTTGATTGGAACAAATGAGTATAGTATGCAGGGCCGCTGGATTCGAACCGGGGACCTTTACCTTACAGTGATGAGCGCCGTTTCAACGCCCAAACCGTTGCGGCCACCGACGCCCCCTCATAATCATTATTGTTAACGGATTCTTTAAAACAGACACTATTTCCATTAAACAAACTTCTTTTATTTCTAAATCCTTTTTTTATTTTCTATATAAAACCGTTGTACTGATTATATGAAACTATTATTTAGTGTGATTAATTAATCTTAAACTCTTTACAATGTTTCTATTTTACTACCATTATCGGTTACATAATCGTGATTTTTACTATCAAATTATTTTTAGAGTGAAAAAGTTCTGATATACAAATATAAAATACATCTAAATAATCTAATTGGCTAAACAACTCACTTGATTTAAAATAATGGATAATCGTGTGCTGTGAAATTTCGAACTTTGCAAACCCAAATTCACTGGAATTATTCGAACATCATTTGTGCGATCAACTATGTTCGGCTGTTTGGTGCCCAGAAGAGGAGAAGAACCTGGATTGTTATGATTTTATGGACATCCTTTAGTTCCTTGGCCACTTAAACTTTGAGAAACGTATGTTTCTATGGTTTTGTTGTGATTTGGGATGATTTCGGCAGTTTTTAAATCTTTGTTTATAGATTGTTTCTTCAGAAAGTTTAAATTTCTAACGGAAAACACGAAGTTCTTTTTACCAAGAAGACAAAATTCAATTATCCAGATAAGACTTAAATTTAAAATGACCGATAAATTTTCCTTCTATAGGCATATTTGTGGATACTTATATTATCTCGTATACGTAGGTATTGTATTTTGTGTACTTATTACGTGTTTTATTTTGTTCGTTCGACATCAACCTAAAAAGCTCTAATTTTCCTTGCCTACCTTTTTCATTTCCTGTCCTTAGAACAACATACTTCCAATCCCAATGGAAATTTTCCCTCATCCGAATGATTCCAAAGCCTAAAAAACACCTCACTTTCCATCATCCTACCGCCCAATCAGTCTGTTGCCTATAATGGTCTAAAAAATACGAGAAATACTCCTGCTTAAACGCATTCTCCCCAACCTTCATACTTAAACCTTATCCCTGACCACCAGTTGGGATCAGACGTTCTCATTCCACTGTTCAGCAGTGCCATCGCGTTGTAGACATCATGGCTACTGCTCTTGAGCAAAAGGATTGCTGCTTCCTAGATGCGAAACAAGCCTTCGATCCGGTATGGAACGCGGAGCTTTTTGGTAAGAGAGTCCTCCCTATTAGCTACTACCTGATCCTAAAATCCTACCTATTCGAAAGATAATTTCAAGTCGTCAGTGGCCAGTCACTATCAGCTGGGTATCGCACAGAAGCAGGAGTACAACAAGGAAGTATCTTAGGATCCATCCTCTACACGTTATACATCGCAGACAGTCATTCTCTTCGAGAAACGATTCTTAATACCTATGATACCGCCATCCTTTGCTCTCATAAAAACCTTGTCATTTCAACCACAATAGTATCCCTCTCCCACCAGCTAATGTAGTCGGCTACTTATTCAGAAATCGATAAAGAAGATAAAGCGACGATAAATAAAATAAAAACGATAAAGAAAATGTTTTTTCTGAAACCTACATCACACCAGACCGCATCTCACGATTTCTGAATAAGTAGTCGGCTACCTTGGGTTATACAATGACAAACGACTAGTATGGAACCTTCACAAGAGACTCAAAAGACAAGAGCTAAACAGACGATTCAAACTTCTTAAAAGATTGCTGGATAAACGATCAAAACTGATTTTACAAAATAAACCACTCATTTATATAAAACTTTTGAGACCCATATGGACTTAAAGCATCGAACTTTGGGGTTCAACCGTTCCAACCTCCAACGCATCCAACCCCTACAATCCAAAATTCCCCAAACCATGCTCCTTTCTATGTATCTAATCTTACCATTCACAATGAATTTAATATACAATATGTCCATCAAGTAGTGAAAAACCGTTACAAGAAATTCTCAAACAGTCACACAAACCCTTATGTCAGAAACCTTTCATCCCGCGCTTTTTCTTTTCTTTCAGATCTAATGTTTGAAAATTGTTTTCGGCACTCTGGTTTTAATAGAATGAGTTCAGGAACTGTTGATATTGCTGATCAGTGTTAACAAATTTGATTTGGAGGAATTAGGAGCCTCTTCCTTATTTAAAAAAAACTTATTGTTGATTTCGAGTAGATAACGACATTTTTGCAAGTGATTTACCGTAGCACTTAGTTAAGAGTGTGCCATTATTTCCGGCAGTCAGGCAGCACGTAAGGCCTTAGCGTCATGCGAATTTAAGGCAAGATGCGTATGGAATTATAGAACATATAAGGGCTATCTCACAAGACTTACAAAGTAATTACTGGAGGGTAATCGCAAAAGAACCAGGATTCTGGTGGACTCTTGGCAGGGCGCTGCAGCAGACAGAAGAGATACCAGACCAGAAAAAAGAGGAGACGGCAGGACACGTTCTATGTTTCTGTGAGGTTCTAGGAAGTTCTATATAGATTCGTACAAGGAGAGGAAAACCCGCAAGCAAACTCCTACTCCGGAAGGAGCCGCTGGAAAGGCTATAGAGGTTGATTAACAACCTGAAGCTAGACAGTGAGTTGTAAAAATAGAAGAGCATAATAGATCTACTCAGGTCAAGATGCAGAAAGCTTTGTGGCCTCCTCTTTCCTATCCTTATTCCTACTTAAGAGTGTCCTTCGGTCTCGTTAAATTGTTTAACTGTGCTATTTTTGCCGTTAAGCTGGTAAATTAAATGATTCAATACGATATTTCATAACATACAAATTGAAAAATTTAAGTAATACTCGCGGAACAAAGCGTCAATGACAAAATGAGAAAATATTTTTTATTAAAAACCATAGACATTTGCATTATTTTATTAATTTGTGACAATTTCTCAAAAGTCTTCTTAAAGTCCTCTTACATTTAAGGAAAATATGTCTCAATGTAAATTTAAAATAAATTTTTACGAAAACAATGTATAATATTTTTGGAAATGCCATCATCAAGAGAAGGTCCACCTATACTTTCCTTCCAATAAAATAGATCAAGATTTCCTAGATTTATCTATGTAGATATATTGTTAAATTGTCTTTTCGTTTCGTCAGTTATTGTTCTGTGACATGTGATGTAAATTACCTTTGTTTTCGTCCCTGAGCATGCCGATGGTACCGCCGGTGTAGATGACAAGGACGACGGACAGGTCGTCCTCTTCGATGAAATTCACATCCTCGCTGAGAGCCGAACTGATCGAGAGGAGGGACGAGGTCCGTTCCATCACACGTTGGTTATCACCATTCATCGTCCTCCGTCGGAAAGGCACTGAAAAATTTCCAATCGCAAAATGACAAATCCAAACTGAAACTGTACTCGCGCGCGAGACTTTTCGGTCGTGAGACGCCGACCAAAACGTCCCCACTCCGCGAGTAGCAAACAGTTCGCAAGCTGCTTGATTCGATCGAGTTATTTTTTACTCAACCTGCGTCACATGGACGATGATGATGATTTCATTCACAACGCACTAATCAAAGTCTACTTATTTATGTCATTTTATCATTACTCCAGGGAATCATGTATTTACCTCCATGCAACTCTCTGCAATTAAGAAGCTTCAAGCCTTGAAATCTATATATTTTCAATATACTTTTTTTTCTAATTAGTCCATGGAAAAAATTTGAAGATATTGTGGTTTAACTATAAAAAAATGAAATTTTAAACCCCCTATGAATTGTACAATTTATGTAATTTAATAACTATTTCCATTGCCCAATGGTTGTTCCATTCTAATCTCCGATTTCAATTTTTGAAATACCAACGGTGAAAAATGATGTAAAATTCATAGGTTGTTTGTTCCTGAACAACAATGCCGGGTAATTTGCCACAGTCGTTAAAATGGCCTGGGACCTCAAATGCCACCCTGTGTACATACGTATTATTCATTAACATTTTTTCGAACCAAATTCACCCTTTTAACTTCAAATTAAACGTCTTTGTAATTGCAAACGTTTTTAATTTCAAATTAACAGTTTTTAATTTCAAATTAACCCTTTTGAATTTTTTTTTATTCATATTAACCCTTTTATACTTCAAATTTACCATGTTTAACTTTGGATAAACCTTTTTAATTTTAAATTAACCCATTTTAACTTAAAAATTAACAATGTTTAACTGTAAATTAACACATTTAACTTCAAATAAACGTTTTTTAACTACAACTTAACCTTTTTAATTTCCAATTTTTTTTAAACTTTAAATTAACGCTTCAAATTAACTGTTTTTAATCCAAATTAAACATTTTTTAACTTTTTTCAAACCCTTTTGAATTTCAAATTAACTATTTTTAAATTTCGTATTAACACTTTTGAACATCAAAATAACGTTTTTTACTTTCAAATTAACCATGTTAAACTAATATAAATTAGCCCGTTTTGACTGCAAATTAACCATGTTTAACTTTAAATTAACCTTTTTAATTTTAAATTATCCCTTTTCAACTTAAAAAATAACCGTGTTTAACTTTAAATTAACCTTTTTAATTTTAAATTATTCCTTTTCAACTTAAAAATTAACCATGTTTAACTTTAGCATAACATTTTTCACTTCAAATTAAACGTTTTTTATTCAAATTAACCCTGGATACTTCATTTTTTTAAATATCATATTAATCAGTTTTAAATTCAAAATCTTTAACTGTAAGTTAACCCTTTTTAACTTCTAATTAAAAGTTTTTTACCTTTTTCTAACCCTTTTGAATTTCAAATCGGTTTTTATTAAATTCATTTTTCATTCATTCAAATTTCAGATTAACCATGTTTCACTTTAAATAAATCCATTTTAATTTCAAACATTTTACAATCCGCTGACGAAACAAGGGTGTCATTTTTCCATCAAATACCATTTGTATTTGATGGCCAATCAATATGACCGACTTGAAATAGGAAATACAGCGAGTGTCTTAAAATTTGTGTACTCAATAATATCAGATCCAAATCATTTAATCGAAACCCCCATTTCCCCCTTCCTAACTTATATGCCCATCGGATTTAAAACTATTAATTTCAAATACAGCAAAAGGAGAATGGGAAAACCGCTTGGCTCGTAAAAACATATATGATAAATTGTGGCGGGTTACGAAAGACGTCGGTCCCTGGCCCAAGGAGAAAAGGTCGAAAAGGGAAAAAGCCATACTGACAAGAATACGCATAGCTCAAACACGAATCACTCACGGGCAACTTCTGGTCAGAAAGCGACCGCTTAGGTGGCCGTTATGCAAGAATAAATTGCAGATTTTCAGTTGTAAAACGCATACAAGGCCACGTTTATCGGCAATATTTGATATATCGTCAAACCAGTGAGTAGTCTTGGGACAAGGCACCCGCACAGATTACTATAGGGATTTTTAAATGTGTACAGTGTTTGTGTTGTTTTTTGTGTGTTTGTGTTTATGTTCATTTATTAGAATAAATGTAATTTATTAGCATGAAAGGGAGGGGTTGTTTATTGTACATTGTATTTATTCTAGGGTATATTAGGAATATCGAGTACTCTGGGGGAGTGAATATGACCAGATTTCTATGTTTGTGGCGATGTACATGTTATGTATTGTATGTTGTGTATCTATTCTTAAATTGACAACCTGAGGAACTAACAAGAGGCTAGCTTTTTAAAATAACGACGTAATATACAAGTAAAAGCAGAGAGTCA